CCCCACAATCATGAAGCTAAAGGAAAAAGTCAAGCCAGGAACTGCTTAGGGCAAACCTCCTTCCCGTTCTATTCAGTCACCCCTCTGCTCACTGAGATCAATGCATATCTGATTGCCTCCTTTGGAGAGGTTAATCAGAAACTCAAAAGAATGCAACCATTTGTCTCTTATCTACCTACCTGGAAGCCCCTCCCTACTTCGAGTTATCCGCCTCTCCAGACTGAACCAATGTTCATCTTGCATATATTGATTGATGTTTCATGTCTCCCTGAAATGTATAAAACCAAACTGTGCTCTGACCACGGTGGGCACATGTCGTCAGTACCTCCTGAGGCTGTGTCAGGAGTGTGTGTCCTCAACCTTGGCAAAATAAACTTTCTAAATTGACTGAGACCTGTCTCAGATTTTGGGGGTTCATGAGAGGTTGGTGAGTCAACAAATACCCTCTTAAAAACATAAGGCTTCAGGGGAGGCTGAGGGCACAGCAGCCTTTTGTGCCTTTGTGGATTTCATTCAGTTAGGTGCTCACCTGTTTTGATTTAATTTAATTTAATGTAACTTAATTTAGGAGAGCTAAGTAATTAAACATGAGGCCAAAGTACGTAAGAAAGTGGCAGTCTTTTATTGCAAATATGCATACACTCTCGGGCGAAGTTCTCTGGTCCTCAGGTGTGGGGGGCCAGGGAAGTCGCGCCGGCGCTCTCGGGTGATGTTCTTCGGTCCACAAATGCGGGGGCCGAAGAAGTCACACTGGCTCCTGCCGGCAGCGGACTTTTATGCATTGGTACTGGAAGGGGAGGAGTTCGGGGCGTGTGTGTAGGAGTGGCTTCTTGAATTTCGGTGTCCCCGACTTGACGTCATTCTGCGCATGCTCAGTTGATTTGGTTCTTTTCCCGGGCGCGGGAAAATCTGTGATGAAGAACCCGGAAACAACAGGGACTGCTCCATCTTCTTCACCTTCCTCCATCTTGTCCCTTTTCCTTCACCCAAACACACCTACTGTCTTCTCTCCTGATTTCTCAGCCAGACATAGTGAGGGGCCTGGGCGAGGCTGTGGTCATGGCTGTGGCAGCAGGAGGGACCTGTGCTCTGAAGAAAGGGAGAGGCAAAGGAGACAGGAGGTGTACAGGGGAGGGCCCCACAGCTCAGCTAAGCCCAGGTGAAGTTTCTCCTGAGGACCACCCTGTGTCTGGAGATGAGACAGAAGCTTCTCTCCCCACCCGTCTCATGCTCCAGGAGCCCCTGTCCTCAAGGGTTAGCCCTGCCACACCATGAGTTAAGTGGACCCTTGTAGGCTGGTTCCTAATGTAATACTCAACCTTGTTTTCCTGTGAATCGACTCTCCCTGAGCTGAGACAGCCGGACGGACTCCATTTGCAAGACATCAAGGGCTTCTCACCCACCCTCTTCCTCAAGGACGTACAAGCTGACTCCCAGCACATCAGAGTGCAATTAACCGATAAGGTACATGGCAAGCTATGTCCGCAGTTCCCAGGAATCCGCCTGGGTGATAGTACCCTAAGTCCCCGCGTTTGTGTCCGGGACGTAGCACCCAAAGCCCTCGCACCTATCACCCTGTGATGGATTTAAAGCCCCTGCACCTGGAACTGTTTGTTTTCCTGTAGCCGTTTGTCTTTTTAACTTTTTTTTCTTTTTGCCTGTTTTACTTCTGTAAGATTGCTACAGCTAGGCTCCCCTTCCCCTCTCTAAACCGAAGTGTAAAGGAAAATCTAGCCCCTTCTTCCGGGCCGAGAGAATTTTGAGCGCTAGTCGTCTCTCGGTCGCCGGCTAATAAAGGACTCCTGAATCAGTGTCAAAGTGTGGCATTTCTCTGTAACTCGCTTGGTTACAACACTATAGCTCACATTCAAATGTGTGTGATGGGCACCACTCACCTGGTAACCTGGAGACTGCTGTGCGGCTGCGAAGGAAAGCTGCTAGTGGGTCCTCATGAAGCTCACCTCCCAGTATTTATGACCCTGTGCACTGCTCTCCACTTTGAGTCAGTGCTTAGCCCTGAGACTTGGCTTGGCCAATGGGGGTCAGCACGTCTGCCCAAACAGAGGCCTGATAAGAACGTGTACACTGGGCTTGCCTTCTTGGAACATGCTGCAGACAAGAAATCCTGGATCTCTGTCTGCAGAAGCCACAAGCAAGATAACCAAGGGTCCCCCGCGGACACCAGGCTAACTGCTAGACATGTGAGTAAGGCCATCTCGGACCCCCTAGCCCCAGCTGAGGTGCTAAGTGACCACAGTCACATGAATGACTTTGGTGAGCCCAGCAGAACCACCAGCTGAGCCAAGCCCATATTGCAGCATGATGAACAAATGGATGACCGATGCTTTAATCCACCAAGTTCTGGGCGTGGTTTGTTACTCAGCAATATGAAACAGCGGACCTATTCGAAGAGCTGTGGGTTGACTCAGTGTTTTATTATGGTTCATGGCAGTAACCGAACAGCACAGAGAAATGACATGTACGTATTAATTGTTACATACATGTCATGAATCCTCACTACACATGAAAGTTTTTGAGCAGTTTCATAAAGCTTGTGACCACATAAAAAATACCATAGGACAGCTTTTCACACTAAGACTGACTTCACAGTGTTCAGGCACATGCACTGTTCTGTGATTAAACTGATTTTTTTGGACAGAGAGTGCTGTACCCGAGCGAGTTAGAGAAACGCCACACCTTGAGACAAATTTAAAAGTCCTTTATTAGCTGGCGACAGAGAGACGGCTAACGCTTGAAATTCTCTCCGCCCGGAGGAAGGGGCTTGATTTTCTTTTATACTTGGGGTTAGGAAGGGGAGGCGGAGCTCAGTTGCAACAATTCTACAGAAGTAAAAACATGCAAAAAAAGTTAAAAAGACAAATGGTTACAGAGAAACAAAGTTTCCAGGTGCAGGGGCTCTAAATCTTTCATAAGATGTTATATATGTGGGCTCTGCCAGACACAAACTCAAGGTTTTATTGTTATCTCTTGAGTAAAATCAGGGAACCTCCTACCTTGCTTGCTTCAGTACCTTATCAGTTAATTGGATTCTGAAATGTTGAGTCAGCTTACACAAGTTAACTCCTTGAGGAAGGGGGTGGGTAAGGAGTCCCTGAAGCCTTGCAAATGACAGAGCTAAATGGAGTTCCTCCCTCCCGCTTTCTCAGCTAAGGGAGAGCTTATTCATGTGGAAACAAGGCTAGGTGATTAAGGGAGAAAGGGAGAGTCTACAAACAAAGTTAGTAAAAAACAAGGTTAGGTATTACAAGAGCAGGGCAGAGGAAAGCATAAACAGCACTCCAGTTAGACCTCTGCCTGTTAGGGCACAATGCTGCCCACATTCAGATTCTATGTGAGATTAGAAATCTAACCTTACCTCACAATGGGACATTTTTTTCATTTGAGGGAGAAGGTTAAAGCATTACTGAGTACTGGTCATTGTTTCGGTGTTTATTTGCACCCCTCTGTGTCAAGTTGCAGGGCTTTGTTTGATGTCTCAGTGTTTTTTGGCTTAAGAGTCCAAGATAACAGACTTCTTGTCATAAAACAACATCATCAACACCCAGGAATCCACAATTCTGTTGAAAAATGGGCAACAATGGCTTCCCTCTTCTTTCCCCTGCTGTGTGCAGCTCAACGGTCTCTAACGAGCAGTGGACGAGAGGGGTCCCCACCTGGGCTCTGCACTGGGTGAGTCCCTTGACCTCCTGGTCTTTAGTTCTGTGGTTTCTTTGTCCACTCATCCATTCATTCCCTCATTCATTTGTTCACATACAGAACAAATATTCATGAAGCACCTACTGTGTGTCTGGTTTTTGGGTGACAGTCGTGAGCAGGACAAATGGTCCCTGGCCATCAGGTCATGCCTGTGGACCCATGCTAACTAAGGAGGTCTTACTGGTGATATTCAGGGCTCATTTTAGCTCCTAAACAATGAATTCTGTGGTTCTAAGTCACAGGAGTAAATGGAAGTGCCTTTGCGGTTCTGAACCCTTTATGGAAGGAGAAGCAGTGGCTATCTGAGCCTCGCCAGGCTCTCTTCTTTTGCTCTGCAGTGGGACTGAGGCCCCACACACCCTGCATTTCAAGGTGTCCTGTGGCCTAAATGTTCCAATCAACCCCATCCCCGCACCCCCTTCAGACTGGACACCGTCTTCCTGTGGCCTAAATGTTCCAATCAACCCACCGTCTTCCTGTGGCCTAAATGTTCCAATCAACCCTATCCCTGCACCTCCTTCAGACACCGCCTTCCTGTGGCCTAAATGTTCCAATCAACCCTATCCCTGCACCTCCTTCAGACACCGTCTTCCTGTGGCCTAAATGTTCCAATCAACCCTATCCCTGCACCTCCTTCAGACTGGACACCGTCTTCCTGTGGCCTAAATGTTCCAATCAACCCTATCCCTGCACCTCCTTCAGACACCGCCTTCCTGCACACAGACTCCGCAGACCACCCAGACTCCGCAGACCAGCCCCTTGTCCTATGTCCAGATAGTGAATTATGAGCCCCTTTCAGGTGTCCAGGCCAAAGGCTCACTCTCGCCTTCTCTGTCTGCGACCGTCAGGTCAGTGCCCTACGGTGATCTGAGAACTGGGCATCCAGTGGCCTCTACCTGGCAGAAAGGAGGCCGTGTGGTCCCCCACTCATTCGATGCTGAGCCTCAGCCCTCAGCTTGGAAACATGGTCACCAGACACCACAGTTGTGGGGCCTCTTCCAGGTGAACGTCTGGGCATGTCTGCTGGTGCACGCTCCTCGTGTCCCTTTCCTTTGAACATTGTTGTGGGTTCATAAATAACTTTTTAAGCAAAGATAATTCTGTATGCATTTCCTTTAGTATAAAATACATTGAATTAAGTGAAGTCGAAAAGTATATCTTTGGAATCCGGAGATTAAGCTTTCAAATATGTGTAATTATACCCATAGAAATAAGTTAAATATTCACCCCGCAATCTGAGAGTTTAAGAAACTTTAATCTCAGGGAAAATGTCAGTAGTTAAGGCCCCAAATCTCTTGTGTAGACGTGCAAAGCACGACATCATCTTACGTCAGACCTGGGAGAAAAATGTCTTTGTGTTGGGCCTGGAACCCCCAGTGCCATCTTGCGGCCTTCGTTTTGGGAACACCGCTGTTAGGAAAACAGGAAACTGAGTAAGAACAGATTTGCTGAAAAGAGAAGAGGGTTAGTTCGAGGAGTCTAAAATTGATACTTGCTTATTCAGGCTTTGATTAGGAATCTGTTTATTTTGGTTTCAGGAAAGTTGATCAAATCTGGTCTTCAGATTTTCTAACCTACAACAGATGAAAACAAAACACTGGGAAGAGAAGTGAGCAGGGACCCTAGAGATGGGCAGCCTGAGATCCCCGAAAGCAGAAGTGAGGGGTTGCAGTGTCCAATGAGAAGGGACAGAAAACCCAGCAAAGTTGGGGGAGGACCCAAGATGTGGCTATTTGGGGCCACTTAGGGTTCAGGGAAACAGCTATACATCCCTGCTCAGTCCTGAGGGCATCACCCAGAAACCACGACAGGAGCTGAGGGAAGCAGCAGCACTCTCATGTGATTTCCATCCAAAGCTGCATTTCTGGGGGAAGTTAGTTACCTGAAGACTTCATGCCTACAGAGGGCCTCAGTTCCCAGCAGCACCAGGCAAAGGAGAAGTGCCGGTCTCTGCATGGGGTGTTGGAAGTGGTGCATGCAGGGAGTTGCAAGAGGACCACATTCAAATCTATGACTAATTCAAGTTCTGGGGGTCCAAAGCTAGGCTACATTATGGGGAGCATCTAGGCTGCTCAGCAATGGCCCAGGAGACACCAAATGGGGCCCTCCAGGGGGCTGTGGCTGCCACCACTACTGGCTTCACGTGACCCACATGGCAGTAACCTGCTACCTTTGCAAAATCTCTCTGTGTCCCCACTCTGGACCCCACAGCATCCCAAGCCGAGGCTGGGCCAGCTCCATTGCCCCTCCTTGTACTGTCTCTCTGGGCTAAGGCCCTGACATGTCCACGTTTGCCAGCAGCTCTGTACTTGACCAGTGTGGTGGGGTGCCCTTCCCTGCCGGTCCCGGTTTTCTGAGACCCTGTGTACCAACACCCACCCGGAGCCTAATGTCATAGCTGCCCTGCATGGACGTGGGAGGCCAGGCCAGGTCAGGGGGGCAGATAGGCTGGGCCAGGCTAGGTGGCACCTGTGGTCTGTCTTTGACTTGTCTCATAAGCTCTGCTGGGCTGCTGTAGTGGCTGCCACCTGAATGTGGGGAGCTGTTGGCAGAGTCAGGAGAGGGGAAGGGGTTCTGCTGAGGAGCCTGGGGAATGGCGTCTCTCAGGTGGCCAGCCTGGTGATGGACACGTGGTGCCCCTTCTCTCACCTGCCCACAGTGCTCCTGGCTCTGCAGCACCCCCTGCACCCACTGCTGCTGCTTGGTGGCTGGGTTGGGGTCTGCAGTGTAAGAGCCCCGCATGGCTGAGGATCCAGGCAGAAGTACTTGGGAAGGACAGGCTGGACTCCTGGAAAGCTGGTTTGGCCCCAGAGAGTGGGGTGGATGCTCTCCTTCTCCAGATTTTTCCTCTGGTGTCCCAGGTGCCCTCTGCACAGACGGGGGCTGACCTCTGTACAAGCTGGGACTGGGTGGCCGTGTCCATGGAAGGCAGGGGTCAGCCATCCATGGGCAGCTGAAGGGGTCAGGCTGGGCTTGCCCTGCTTTCTGCTCTGCCATCACCTCCATGGGGACTGCAACTGGGTGGCCCTGGATGGGGGAATCCCAAATGCTGCCCAAACGGTGGGTACCACATGGGTTGACACATAAAGTGGGGTCTGAGAGGATCAAGGACCCCTGGCCCTGACCAGTGTGTATGGAGGTCCAGGGCATAGATTCCTTGCAAAAATTCAGAACACCAGGGCCTGGTGGAGCCAGGTGTCCAGGAACATTTTCTCCTAAAGAGAGAAAAGGTGCGTGGCTTGGCTGAAAACCCTGAGCAGGCCGGCTTGGGCTGGAGGCCTGAGGCAGTGGGCTGAGGTCAAATGTTGGCTTCTGACACATCTCAAAGTTCGAAGGCACTGCCTGGCTGTACCGAGGCCACCACTGTGGGGGGCCCTGGAGGGGGTTCTGGAGTGTGGGGCCAGGGATAGAAGGACCTGTGATGAGACAATCCTGGGGATGTGCTTGAGGGTAGCTGGGCACCAAGCCCACGTTTGGAGGTGGAGTTACTTCTGTGGCTAGCTGGGCTGAGCCCTGAGAAGATGGTGGATTCAGGGTCTGTGGAGAAGTCACGCTGGCTGGTGGGGGCAAGCCCACGTTCCCAGTGTCATAGAACTGGGTCTCCTTCTCCCTGTGGAGTTTTCTTCCTTGGCTGGGTGGTGGCAGGTGGCAGTTCTGAGGTCCTGCAGGGCCCGAGTCAGCTCCTTGAAGCTTCTCTTCCCACAGACGCTGGTTGAGATTGGTGACAGCCAGGTGCTGGAGGGTGGAGCAAAGGTCAGGCTGTTCTTCCTTGTCCTTCTCCAGTAGGCTCTCGATGAGGGCCAGGAGGGAGCTGCCTTCCTCCTTCTCTTTCTCTTCCTTGTCCTCACATCTGTTATCAGACCCCTGCCTCTCGAAGGGTGAGCCCTGGAGGGTGGGAGCAATGCAGGACAAGTACACGGATTCATCTTGCTGCATCATGGCTCCAAGGAGAGATCCGGGGCACGAAGAGTCCTGGCCAGCTGGAAGACCCTTCCTAGCCCTGGTCCTCTTCCTGGCTGGGAGGGCAGTCAGGGTGCTTGGGAGGCTGCTCTCATACAGGACGGCCTCCCCCGTAGTGAAGGTGAACGGCAGCTGCAGGGCCCGTTTGCGCAGGTGCTCCTCCCCCTCCAAGTTCCTGTGGTTAAGGAAACACAAGCCCACATCCAGGAGCTGGTATATGAATGAGAAAGGGGCAGGACACCATCTTTTCTGTCTTTTCCAGCTAAAGAAGAAAGAAAAGCCACAATGGCAAGTTCACTTGCTTTTCTCTTGCATTTTTTGGAGTACAGTATTCTTCATAACTATTCTCTATCTTGTATTATGAAATAGTCTCAGAGGAAACTGCTTATGTGTGGGATGAGTATTCCAAAATTCCAGGTAGGAATTCCCTAAACTTCAAGTTTACTTTGAAAATAAATCATTACACAAAAATGATATATGAACCATTTATCACTGGGAAGAATGATTTCTCCCTTCATCGCTCCCTCCCTTCTAACAGACTCATGGGAATGGCTATTATCAGGCTAGCCTGAGAGTCACTAACACTGTGACTGTAACATGACCAGCAAGGTTGGAACCTTCCTTCAGTGATCTGTCACTGCTTGGAGTTGCACATTTTGTTTGAAGTTCCATAAAGGAAAACTGGCTGAATTAAAATGTAATGTCTGGCAGAAGCTGACCAGAATGACATGGACACAGGACACTCTATCACTGGATGAACCTTTCAGGAGGCTGAAGCCCACTTCACCCCTTTTGTTATACCCTTTGTCTTTAAATTTGCTTTGTCTCATGTTGATATAGCTACTCTGGTGTTCTTGTGCTCACTGCTTACATCTTATGCTTCTTTATATCTAATTACTTTCAATCTTTTAGTGTCATTATTTAAAAATGTGTCTTGTTTAGAAGGCATACAGTTAGGTCCTGATTTTTAATCCATTCTGACAATCTGTGTCCTTTAATTGGAGTTGTCTTAGTCTGTTTTGTGTTGATATAATAAAATACCTAAGACTGGGTAAGAAAAGTTTATTTGGCTCACAATTCTGGAGGCTGGAAAGTCCAAAATCGGGCAGTCTACCTAGTGAGGGTCTTGTGCTGCTTCAATTCATGGTGAAAAGCAGAAAAGGCAAGTGTGCATGTGCACAAAGACCAAACACAAGGAAGAACAACCTGCTCTGTAGTAATGAATTCAGTCCTGCAAGAATGAGAACTCATTCTAGAGAGAGAATGAATCTATTCATGAGAGCTCCACCCCATGGCCCAAACACCTCCTATTAGGCCTCATCTCTCAGCACCACCACATTGGGAATCAAATTTCAACATGAATTTTGGCAGGGACAAACCACGTCCAAACAATAGCAGAAGTCTTTTGTCTATTAACCTGTAGATGTAATTATTGATATGGTTGAATTTGGGGCTTCTATTTTACTATTTGCTTTCTGTTTGTCACCTCTGCTTTTTATTCCTCTGTTCTGCAGAAAAAGTCCTGCCTAGAGAGAGGATTTTTTTTTTTTTTTTTAAAAAGAAACTCATCTCAACTTACCTACTTTTTGGCTACACCTTTTGCATTATATTTTTATGGCTGTTCTAGGAATCACTTTTCACTATTGACTTTTCATTGTCTACTTAGAATTAATACTGTGACACTTTACATAAAACATATGCACCTTGCAACTGTATAGTACACACACCCCTAATGCCTGTTCTTTATGTTAGAGTTGGCAGATTTACCACATCCACATTTATAAATCCTACAATATGCTTTTTTTTTTTTTTTTGGCTTTAAGCAGTCATTTGTACTTTAAAATAAAGGGGAAAATAATCATTTATATTTATCCACCTGTTTACCATTTCCCAAACTCTCCATTCCTGTCTCAAGTTTCAGTGTTTCACCAGGTATTCTTTCCCTTCATCTTGACAAATTTCTGTTAGCATTTCTTGTCTATTTTTGGCAACAAATTATTAGCTTTTAAAATTCAAATGATACTGTCATTCATTACAAAATTCAGAGTTGACCATTTTTAGGCACTTTAAATATATTGTTCTAATGTCTTCTGATCTCCATTGTTTCTGATGAGAATTCTATAATAATTGTAATCAGTGTTCCCTATGTATAATGTACTTTTCTCTCTGATTGCTTTCAAAGCTTTTCTCTTTATTTTTGGTATTTGACGGTCTGACTAGATATGCCTTTGTATAGTTTTCTTTGTATTTATCTTGTTTGGAATTTGATGATTGTTCTGATCCATAAAGTTACAACGTTCACTAAATTGGGAAAGTTTCCAGCCATTATTTCTTCAAATCTTTCTTTTCTCAGCTCCGTTTGATCTCTGCTCTTCTGGGACTCTATTTGCCCATATATTAGACCTTTTATTATTGTCCCGCAGATCCCTGAAGCTGTTTATTTCTTTTTTCAATCTCTTAAAATCTTTGTTCTTCAGATTGGATAATTCTATTGCTCTATCTTCAAGTTCACAAACTCTCCTGCCATCTTCAATCTGTTATGTACACCCAGTGAATTATTTATTTGTAGATATTGTTCCAAATATTCTGTTTCTATTTTTTTCTGCTGAGATTTCTTATCTTTTCATTCATCATAAGTACATTTTCCTTTATGTCCATGAGCATAATTATAATAGTTGCTATCAAATTCTTACCCAGCTGGGTGTGGTGGCTCATGCTTGTAATTCCAGCACTTTGGGAGGCCGAGGCAAGCGGATCACGAGGTCAGGAGATCAAGACCATCCTGGCTAACACAGTGAAACCCTATCTGTACTAAAAATACAAAAAATTAGCTGGGCGTGGTGGCGGGTGCCTGTAGTCCCAGCTACTTGGGAGGCTGAGGCAGGAGAATGGCGTGAACCCAGGAGGTGGAGGTTGCAGTCAGCCGAGATCGAGCCACTCCACTCCAGCCTGGGTGACAAAGTGAGACTCTCTCTCAAAAAAAAAAAAAAAAAAATTCTTATCCAATACTTGGGTCATCTTAGGATTGGTCTCTATTGGTTGCATTTTCTTTTGAGATTTTCTTTCCTGTTTCCTCATACGTCAAGTAATTTTGGATTATATCCTGGATATCATGATGACACACTGTAGATTTTGGATTCTATTCTATCCTTCCAAAGAGTATTGATTTTTTTGTTTTGTTTTGTTTAACTGGATGACTTAAAATGCAAATACAAACTATGTTTCCCTTGTGGTGGGCAACAGTGGAAATCCCTGTTCAGTTCTTTTGATCTTAAGTTGGTTGCTGTAAGTCTATCTCAATGCTTGCATGATTCAGGGGTCAGCAGAAATTTAGATTGAGTTAATTCATAAAATATAAAGGCTCCTCTTTTCTGGATCATTCATTTCTAGCTTTGCTCCTTCATTTGCAGCTGCTGCAGTTACCATAATCTATGTTCTCTGGTTCTTGAGACATTAAGATGATGAGTCAACATTTCAGTTTTTAACTGCCCAGCACCAAGTAGAGTTCTTCTCAGACAAAAAGCAGTAAAAAGCAGGAAACTCAACAAGGGCCATTCCTTTCTTTCAAGCATTGACTCTCCAGTGCCTCATTTTAAAACAATATTTTGGCCAGCCATTTCCGCTATAGTTATTATGGCTATTACTTATGAGAGGGTTGATGCAAAAAGAGCAACTTCAACAATTACCAGTAGTGGAACTGTTCCAGAAGAGTTTAACAAAAAGAGTACCATATCTGGATACATTTTTGTGGTAAAAGGTATGAGGTAGGGATTTAACTTTCCTCCCCCAACTCCCTGTAAATGGCTAAACTGTTGTCCCAACCTTACTTACAACTTTGTCCTGTTCTCATGGGTTTAAGATACTTCTTTAATTTAACAATTCAATCTTCATACCTCCACCTAGATCTGCTTCTTGAAAACCTGCCTCTTCATCACTCTGTCTATCTGATGCCAGGATGATTCTGCGCTAAACCTGTATTGCATTAAGCCTGACCAGAGAATAATTTGGTGTAGGCTCTCTGGAGAACAATTTGACAATAGTATCAAAGAATTTTGAAATGCTTAAATCCTTTGACCTAAAAGTTCCACTCCTGAGATTCTAAGGAAACTGGAATAGCAGCCAGCTATTTACATATAAAATTTCCATTTATCACAATATCTTCATAGTAATTTTGAAAACCCAACCCTAAATTTCAATATTTAATGAAAGGCCATCATGTATCTGTATGGGAGCATATGAAACAACAATAAAGGTATTTATGGATAATTTTGATATGAAAATTGCTTTCAATTTATTCTCATGTGGAAAAAGTAGGATATGAGACATAGTGTATAATTTCAAATATAAAACTTAAATGTGTCAAAACTTACTTGAAGTAAAAGTATTAATATACTGACAACATTTTTTTCTCTGACTAGTAGCATAATAGCTATTTCACTGTTGCAGTGTTTTCATTTTCTAAATTTTCTACAATGAGCATGTATTATTTTTGCACTTGATGAAATAAACACTATTTAACAAAACTATTGATTTATGAACTTCTTGCTTAGTAAATCCAAAGAATAGTAGAGCTTGTAAGAGCCATAGAAAATGTACACTAAAGCCCTCTCAGTTTTGCATGGCAGGAAAGTGAGGCACATTTATAAGGTGGTTTTCTGAGACCAGAGTGGAATCAAGCTCAGAATCCAAGTTATTTGACACAGTTCTGTGATTTTCCCATGATCTAAATATTTCTCAGCAAGGTTTCAGGCTCCAAAGGCAGGAAAGTTTGTTACCTATGGCATGTTTTCACATTACTGGATCTCTGATCACTGTTCATAATGTGGCACTAATGGGAATGGTCCAGATAGCTTCTCTCGGCTCATTTGTTTATACAGTTTGAATATTTTTCCCCTCCAAAGCTCATGTTGAAACAATCCCCAGTGTGGCAGTATTGAGAGGTGGGGCCTTTAGGAGGGGATTGGATCATGAGAGCTCTGTCCTTATGAATGGATTAATCCACTAATGGATTAGTGAACTGATAGGTTATCATGGTGGGGGGGCTTGGTGGCCACACTGGAACTCTACAGAGTCCCTACCAGCAAGAAGGCTGTCATCAGATGCGGCCCCTGGACCTTGGACTTCTCAGCCTCCATAAACTGTAAGAAATAAACTCTTTCTCTTTATAAATTAGTG